ATTTTTGTTTCTGTTTTCGTATAGGATATAATTCATATGAGAGAGTCTTATTAGTGAAATAATCTTTAATTTCGTAGCCAATTCTGTATAATGGACACTTATAAAAAAAGGAACGCCCACGCACAGCTAAATTTTACTGCTAGCATCTTATGCTTGAACATAAACATACTTTGTAAGAACGTCTGACTTACATATGTTGTTTAAAATGAAAAAACAAAAACATTAGGTATCTATTTTTAAAACTAGCAAATATTTTTATGGAAATAAATACCTAGGATAATATCTAGGCAACCCAACGTACAAAGGGTTTTTATAAAAGTACAATCAACACTTAAATATATTGGGTGGGTTAATCTAAGTGCCATTTATTAGGGTTAACAAAAGTGTTAACGCATATTTGACTCCTTATACAGTGGCATTATTAAAATATAATTGGCCTATTTGTTTTGGAGAGACATGACAAAATTCAATTTTTAATATCTTCAATCATATTTAGGCAACCCAACGTACAAAGGGTTGTTTTAAGAATCTAATTAATACTTAAATATACCTGGTGGATCAATTTAAGCGTCACCCATTAGGTTGGGTGAGAATCCAGTTTTTGTAGTTTTACTAAGTAGCATTATCAAACTATATTGACCCTTTTTCGTTTTGGAGATAAAGGACATAGTTCAATTATTCAGATTTTTGATTCATACATCAAGAAGGTGAGAAAATTGAACTTTAAATAATATCTCAAAAGTAAAAATATTAATGTGGTTTGATAAGATTTCTCTTCAACGTAGTTTTCAGGCGACGACGCCTTATTTTGGTCTATCCTATATAATTTTTGTGATATTTAACAATCAACTAAATTATTCTTGTACATGTATTTAATTACCAATTAAATTTTGTACCTTTATCCAAGAGGTACAAGTAAAGATTCATAAATAGTTGTCTGTACTGACTGATGCCTGATACCAGCTTAATAGAACCAGTTCATATTTTTCGTTTATAGTATTGACTGAACATTAAATTAAAAGCAAAATAGGACATGAAAGGGCAATTATATGACATTGTTCAAAGTACAGATATACCTAATATCTTCAAGATTGCAAATTATAAAAAGTCCACACAATAAACAACAAAATTATTTTAGGATATAATGACATAATAATTCATATCTGATATATACTGGGTGGTGCTAGATAGCAGTTGCAAATAAATGTCATTAGGTTTAACAATATTTGAAGGGACCTTGGAATACAAAAGGCAAACTTGGCAAGCTTTTCTTACCAATGATCGAAGTACATTTAGGGTTTATTATTCCACTTGGTAAGAGATGAAAATCATATTCAGTTCCATTAACAACAACTGTATGGCCAGCATTGTTTCCACCCTAATAAACAAAATAAAGTAGTTATTATTAATATTAAATAATATGATTTAAAGGACTAGATACTTAAAAAAAATCAAAATTGTAAAAATGTTTAAATACATAAATCTTAGTTTGTCTGTGTTACAAAATATATGTTATTTTTTATATCATGTGAATGAGAAAATTCAATTTATTGTATTTTTGTATCAATATTTTATTACACTTACCCATTGATATAAATGTGAAAAATATGCATGTGTACAAAAGCTATCTAAATGTGTGCCAAGTTCAATTCGTAAGCAAAATCACGAGTTTGAGATATAAACAGTTGTATGAGAATATTATGTAACAACCATAACATAAATAATAAGGTAAAAAAAGCATTTCATTAAAAAAAATTACCTGGCAACGACATACAATGTCAGCTTCTGTAGCCAACATATCTACAACTTTTCCTTTTCCTTCGTCACCCCATTGAGCCCCTAAAATCACTATCACTTTTGATTCGGGGGTGGAGCGTGATCTCTTCCTAGGGGAAGCTAAGGAGTCGCCGTTCATTCCGTTCAAGTGTTGTACGTTACTCATCATACCATTACTTGCCACTGACAACTAAACTGTAACACACTGCCTGACAAACTGTACTAGACTAAATACATAAACGTTCTACTAATCAAACTACTAATAATACTTAATACGCACAAAAACCAACTCTATAATTTAGATTTGGGAGGCAGCGCAGCACCTTAACCTCTCTTTCTAACCTGAAAATTTAACCTACAACTTCAGCTGTTAGTACTTAGCAACATTGCCAAATAACATAAAAAGTTAATAACTGCAATTTATATAAAATTACTGTAAATAACGTGAAAACAAAAATTATTCAAATTATATTGTTACAATTATTCATACTGTACTATATTAGTTACTGTTTATACGTTTTTACAGAAACTTTTCAGTAAAAATAACAAATATCATAGTTTAAAAATGNGTTTAGGTTTAATACCATCAACTTCAAAACCTGTTGCAAGTGTTGACAGTTCTTCCATAAGAATTTTTAGACAAGCTATGAACTTCAATTGCTGAGCCATTATGTCAATCTGTTCTACTTCGCCCTCTTGCTCGCTATCGCCCTTAACCTTTTCTTCCTCTTTTGTTTCGTTGTCTTCTTTGTTACCAATTTTCATGCTTAAACCACCACCTTCTGAATCATCGGAATCCTCTTTTTCTTCATCTGACCAATCCAATTTCAAATCGTCAGTCTTGGTGGCAAAATCGATAACGGGGGCACCCCAGTCCAAATTATCGGGTTTATCTTCGGTCAAATTAGGTTTGCTGTCCCAAGATAAAATTCCAGAACTTATCTGCACCTCTGACGTCCTCTCCTGTGGTGTAGTAACTAAGAAAAAAGAGAATTTGTACGTATAATTAGCCCTTTCCATTTTTGGTAAATTAATTAGTTATTACCTGGTGTGACTTTAAACGGATCAGTGACAATCATAGGTAATTTTGATAACACTTCCAAGGCCAAAGCTGGGCATCCAGCCCTAAAATGACCATGAGCTGTTGTGAAATATAATTGTCGCTCTGCAGGAGTAATAGAGTCCTCAACAACAACCTGAAAACATTTCATTTAAGTTTAATTAAACTCATGTTTTTTAATGGTATTTCACCTGTTTCCCAGTTGGAAGCCAGACCTTTCTCTGTCCATAATTTGCCATATGGTGTCTGATTAACAAAGGGTGGGTGCGCAGATAAGTGTAAAAGTTGAACACATTAGGATCTGCTTGGTTTGAATCTTTGGAGTCCTCGTCCTTGGCAGGATGCTGAGAGCCGGCATTGCCAATTAGCAAAGTATTTAACGAATCCTGATACTCCTTAAGGATCCACAGGGACATTGATCGTAAAAATGGATCGGGGTGAGCCTTGGTCAAATCCTGATTATTACCTGAAATAATAAAAGAATATATTTATTGAAAACGTCCAAAATTAATTTGCAATAATAATAATGACTAAAGTATTTTTTTTTTACAATTTGGCTTCTGATATAAGATGAGTAAAACCATCTAACAACATAAAACGTTCCCTTATGATCTAATATTCATTAAAAATATCGGTAACTATTTTAATAAAAAGTTAAAACCATTTGTCATACCTGAATTAAGTAAAATGAAGACACATTACTAATGACCATTACTACTTTGAAGGCATTGTTTAAAAATATATTTGAAGTTATTGCAAACCAGTGTTGATTGTTACTTAAGTTACAAATAAATTTTTAAATAGTGCTATTAAAAATCTAAAAAGAATGTTAGGTCCCTTATATGATGTGAACAATATTTGGCGTGCTGAGGGGATAAAACCGACTCAAACGTGGGAAGAAGGGACGACGCACCAAAAGCGACGCTTCTTTCACTCAATCTCGTGACTCTTAATAATTACTAAA